AAGATAGTAATAATTATATACTCTATCCAATGATGCAGTTTTAGTAGATAAAACAGACATAGCATAGAAAGCACAATGAGTTATAACACCTTAGAACATCCAGGGGATTGGAGTAATGCAAGATTAAGATCGACAAAGTAATGTTCCCTTATCTCATCTTACTTTAAGCTCTTGAAGTAAGCCTAACTTGCCCATTTATATATGATAAATAAAACGGGAGAAAAGGCTCAAATATGCCATCTAACTTTGAGAAAAGGATCATTATAACATTTTTGTTTGAAAAAAAGGCTCATCCATGCCATTAACAATTATTACATGTGGAAACCAAAATGTCTAAATTATTTTCTGATTGACTTTGTTAAAAAGTCATATAACCAAATATTACCAATCCAATTATTTTTGCAGCATGTCCTAATTAGTTAGCTGTGATCCTTTTACCCCCTAATTCTTACATGCAATAGGTTCGAACCCTAACCTAATATTCAAGTCAAGAAGCATAGAGGAGTGAGTCCATTATCCACCAAGTACTTGTGATTTCTCCGGTTCAAAAATAATCAGAAATTAATCTTCTGGTGATATTACCACTCATTTCTGGCCGGTTGATCATAGGTTGAAAATCACAATATGTAAGGTTCAAATTCCAGAAGCGTGAAAACACAAGATGATTTGGACAAACTATGGTGAATTAGTCGATTAAACTGCATGATTGATTGATAATAAGTTGATTATTGAACAATTTGAGAGCAAATAATCAAAGATTATACAAGATGCTTACCTGTACTGAGAGTCTCTGAGAGATCGAAAGCCGGAGACAGTAAAATGTGTAGCCGTTTTCACATATTAATAGTATATTTTTCTTATTCTCTCTTTTCTCTTTCTCTTAATTTTTTTTAAAATAATATAGAAGCCATAGTTAGCAGCTAATTCCACCTGTGTGTTTCATCAATTGTCTGGCAATTGTTGAGTTTGTCATGAAAATTAATTGACAAAGGAGTCATTCCTTATTTTTCTTCTATATTAACAATTTAAAATATTATATTAAAAAATTGAATAACTTCTCAAGTTTCATATGTATCACATAAATTGAGAAAAAAAATATATATATTGGGTCCCGTGCTGACACGGATCCTGAATATATGTCACGCCCCGAGCCTACACCCTGGGCGGGACCGGCACTCGGAGACCATTGCTGGCCCCAAGCGAACCCTTGGCCTGGCTTTCTTAACTCAGCGGAAACCTACTCAACAGAATAACTCAATGCTATGCAGAGACATAAACAACTTAAATGATACATATCTGGCCAAAAAGGCAACTCGAGTCTCAAAATAGAATACTTACATATATACATAGATAAGAGACTCAAAACTAACTGACTAACTGTCTATGAAGCCTCTAACATACTGAGATGGATGCTGGGACAGTCCCCGCAACATCCTAACGAAATAAAACTAGAGACACAAAATAACCGAGTCCTCCGGAAAGCAAGGAGGCTCACCACTGACTCTAGAGTGCTCAGCTGGATCAACGGCGTGCAGAGTGCTGATCCTGGGTACCTGCGTCTGCATCATAAAACGATGCAGGCCAACTGGCATCAGTACATGGAATGTACGAGTATGCGAGCTGGAAAGCTAAACCACAACTTAAGCTTGAAAAGAATATAAGAGAACACTTACCTTGGCTCTGTTCAACTCACGAATAACTGAACTCAATATATAAAGCAATAAGACACATGCGATATATAAAGCTTGTAAAACTCTTAAAACATGACGAAAAATCATATTTATAATATCATGAAAATATCATGCTTCCTCTCAAGGTCTACTTGTGCAATGCATGAATGAAGTCCCATACCCCCATCCATACTAAGCAGAACTCTCTAGGAACCATGCTCTTTCTACTGTGGGAGCTTCTCTAACCGACAAACCACCACTATGAATATGAGTGGTGATACAACGTTTTACCTCACGTTGCCTGAGGACCATCATATACCTTGCCGTGATATAGGAAGCTAAAGATACAACGTTTTACCTCACGTTGCCTGAGGACCATCATATACCTTGCCGTGATATAGGAAGCTAAAGATACAACGTTTTACCTCACGTTGCCTGAGGACCATCATATACCTTGCCGTGATATAGGAAGCTAAAGATACAACGTTTTACCTCACGTTGCCTGAGGACCATCATATACCTTGCCGTGATATAGGAAGCTAAAGATACAACGTTTTACCTCACGTTGCCAAAGGACCATCCTATACCTTGCCATCGATATAGGACCTTACTTTAACTTTTGCTTAATGGATCCACTAGCTTAACTTTCGTGATCATCTAAAAAGTATGATCCGAGAAATCCCATGGTTGGCTACATGGTTCTTATGGAGAGTTGAGTTTAATATGAACTCGCGTCTCCAAATCGGTGCTCGATACTACTCCCAAAATGCTTTTGACTCATAAGTGTTTTAAACACATCTTTCTTTAAATGAGATAATTACTCAAAATCTAGCCCAAAGGCTCACTTGGAAACGATATTCCTTTTCTTGAAAACTAGCCCTAAGGCTCTTTTAGAATCATAGTTCCTTCCTTACTCAAATGTAAAAACATTTAGAAACTTCTTTGGAAATACATAGTTCCCTAATAGCTTTTGAGAAATGAACTCAACGTTAAACTCTTGACT